TCTCGTACCGCACTCTCGACGCCCGTGACCGATTTGTTAAATTTTTTAAATTTTGCCCCGAGGGGCGAGTTTATTGGGCAGCGCCACTCATCTTGTGAGTGAACATACCGCCATAGCAGAATGTACAACACTCCCCAATAGGAAGAAAACCCGCTGGGTTGTTCATCCTGTCACTTGTACCCAGACACAGCTGGGACTTGCTTAACTGTCTCAAGTGAACAGCTCCTCAAACAAGAAGATTAACATTTATCAACCCTTAAAAGCTTACGTTATCTTGCGGGTGCAAAATGGGGAAATCTTTTAAGAACAGTATCAATATTTGACAAATAGTGTTTTCCTAACTCAAACAATGTGGGGTTTATTATTCTACAGTTATTCCTAATGTCTCTCAGGTGTTCACATTCACGTAGATAGTGGTCAAGGCGGTGTCCATCACTCTCACCACAGATTCTGCAACTTCGCTGATCAACTGTTGTTTCCATTCCAAATCTCCATGGATATTTGTATCCAAGACGGATTCTCGCTATTACAGATTCTCTCACTCGTCGTCCTCCTCTTCGGCCATACTGATTGGGATTGCCAGCTGCAACCATGTTGTACCATCGTACAGATTCACTGGTTTGTGCTTCTATCCTCCTTTCCTCAGTTACCTTGTCACGGTGATGTTGCCTGATAATACCTCTAATTTGTAGTTGAGTCTTGGGTATGAAGTATTCAATATGGTCTCCTTCAGCGCCTTCAGCAGCCAGTACATCTGCTCGTTCATTCCCACATATTCCAACATGGGAGGGGATCCACAGAAACTTTGTGACTCTTCCCTGATTGGTAAGTACTCTCACAGCTCTCTTGATTTCAGCGACTATTGCAAGATTTTCTGCCTGATTTTTACTTAGGCTTTGCAGTGCTGCTTTTGAATCGGTGCAAATCACTGCACCATTAGTGTTCCGTTCAAGAAACCTTAACGCCATAACAATGGCAGTTAGCTCTGCTTGCGTTGAAGAGGCATAGTTCTCAATACGTGCTTTTTCTTCATTTCTGCGTTGGAAGGTATTATCCTTGATTACCGTGTATGCTGCACCAGCCCTGCCATTGATAGGATTAGATGACCCGTCAGTGTAGATTTGATCTAGTTCATCTCCGGCTTCTTTATAAATGTCCTCGAGATACTTGTGCCTCATTTCTTGTGGTATCATGTTGGATTTTTTCATTGCCATTTCATTGATGATGATCTTGCATGAGTCATCCTCCCAGGGAGGTAACCTCTCTACAGGCAGGAGCTCACGGGCTTGCTCAAGCAGGTGAAGCTCTTCAAGGTAGCAGACTGCTCTGTGATGCCATTTTTTGCTTCTCCTGTTTCCCCCTGAAAGTAGCACAGAGCTCAGTTTTTTCTTGGCAATATCATTGTAATGGGGATCTCTGGCTATCCTAATTGCAAGCTTAGCATTCAGCTCCTGAATTCTGTTTTTAATACTGGGAAGGGACAACTCTTCTCGTAGATTAGACGTTTTGGCAGTTCTTGGGACTCCAAGAATGATTGTCATGGCTTCATTTTGAATGCTTTCAAGCCTTTTCATATCGGTTTGGGAGTAGGTGCACAGTACTGGTGCGGCATAGTCTATGACGGAGCGCACATAGGCTGTGTACATCATTTTGAGCACGGCAATTGAGGCTCCATGTCCATTCCAGGTCATAGCTTTCAGTGCCTTGAGTCGACTTTTGCATGTTCCTATGAGTTGATTGAGCTCCTCTTTCTTTCCCTTGTTAGAGCCGACAGTGACGCCAAGGTACCGGTAGTGGTCAACCCATTCAAGTGTTACACCATTAATTTGCAGTTCTTCATTTGCTCTCCGCTTGTGATGGGAGTATGCCTTCGTCTTGTGTGATTTTGTGTGAGGACCGTATCACTGACCAGGTCACTTAGAGTCCTACTCTGAAGGGCGAGGCGATACTCTGCGGGCATCGCCACAAGAGAGCACCTTAGAAGGTGTACTGAGCCTTTTAAGGGAAAGGTAGACCAAACAGCTCATTTAGGTGTTAGGTATCCCTGATTCCACCTGGGGGAATCATTCTACGACCTCCGTTGGAGGGGAATGAATTTCTCCAGGCCTAGGAGTGTCTCAGGCATTAGGTAGGGCAGTGAATCGGTGCTCACTACGTGGAGGCGTCATGGGGAAGTCAAAGAGAAAGAGGCAATGGAGGCAGCTTTCAGACGAGGAGGGACAGTGGACCGAGCTGCAGCAGGCACCCAAGAAAACTGTTATCGAGGCTTCACCACTTGCTTCTACCAGCAAGACAGCAGACATAATGGACCTAGAGAGGACAGCATCAGTCAAACACCAACCAGTGTCAGACAATGCTTCTCTGTCCACAACCCAGCCACAGGACGACAGTATGAGACAGGAGAGGACAGTACCAGTCACACACCAGTCAGTGTCAGACAGTGTGCCTCTCTCCACAGCCCAGCCACAGGACAACACTGAAGTCATATTGACACCCAAGATATACACAGCGAAGATATACACACCTAAGATATACAGAGCTAAAACATACAGAGGTAAGACATACAGAGGTAAGACATACAGAGGTAGGTAAGACATACATAGGTAAGACATACATTGGTAAGACATACAGATGTTGATTGACAATTGAGAGGCGGGACCAAAGAGCCATATAGCTCAACCCCCGCAAGCATAACTAGGTAAGTACAGCTAAGACATACACAGCTAAGACATACACAACTAAGACATACACAACTAAGACATACACAGCTAAGACATACACAGCTAAGACATACACAGCTAAGACATACACAGCTAAGACATACACAGCTAAGACATACACAGCTAAGATATACACAACTTAGACATACACAGCTATAAGATATACACATACTAACATACATTGGTTACATTACATTATATCATAGTATAAACCTTCACACTTATATTGTAAATTAATAAAATAATAAAATATAAAGGACAATCGGGTAATTTGTATTATTCCAGCTTTAATGATAGGAATTAATACATTGTAGCAACCTGGCTGAGCCCGCACAGAGCGGTATAGCTAGTGTATGCACCATTTGATGGAAAGCTCAGAGGTGGGACCAAAGAACTGGAGTTCAACAGAATTCAGGAGCTGAATGCTAAGCTTGCAATTAAGATAGCCAGAGATCCCCATTACAATGATATTGCCAAGAAAAAACTGAGCTCTGTGCTACTTTCAGGGGGAAACAGGAGAAGCAAAAAATGGCATCACAGATCAGTCTGCTACCTTGAAGAGCTTCACCTGCTTGAGCAAGCCCGTGAGCTCCTGCCTGTAGAGAGGTTACCTCCCTGGGAGGATGACCCATTCAGGATTATCATCAATGAAATGGCAATGAAAAAATCCAACATGATACCACAAGAAATGAGGCACAAGTATCTCGAGGAAATTTATAAAGAAGCCGGAGATGAACTAGATCAAATCTACACTGACGGGTCATCTAATCCTATCAATGGCAGGGCTGATGCGGCATACACGGTAATCAAGGATAATACTTTCCAACGCAGAAATGAAGAAAAAGCACGTATTGAGAACTATGCCTCTTCAACGCAAGCAGAGCTAACTGCCATTGTTATGGCGTTAAAGTTTCTTGAACGGAACACTAATGGTGCAGTGATTTGCACCGATTCAAAAGCAGCACTGCAAAGCCTAAGTAAAAATCAGGCAGAAAATCTTGCAATAGTCGCTGAAATTAAGAGAGCTGTGAGAGTACTTACCAATCAGGGAAGAGTCATCAAGTTTTTGTGGATCCCCTCCCATGTTGGAATATGTGGGAATGAACGAGCAGATGTGCTGGCTGCTGAAGGCGCTGAAGGAGACCATATTGAATACTTCATACCCAAGACTCAACTACAAATTAGAGGTATTGTCAGGCAACATCACCGTGACAAGGTAACTGAGGAAAGGAGGATAGAAGCACAAACCAGTGAATCTGTACGATGGTACAACATGGTTGCAGCTAGCAATCCCAATCATTATGGCCGAAGAGGAGGACGACGAGGGAGAATCAGTAATAGCGAGAATCCGTCTTGGATACAAATATCCATGGAGATTTGGAATGGAAACAACAGTTGATCAGCGAAGTTGCAGAATCTGTGGTGAGAGTGATGGACACCGCCTTGACCACTATCTACGTGAATGTGAACACCTGAAAGACATATTAGGAATATGTGTAGAATAATAAACCCCACATTGTTTGAGTTAGGAAAACACTATTTGTCAAATATTGATACTGTTCTTAAAAGATTTCCCCATTTTGCACCCGCAAGATAACGTAAGCTTTTAAGGGTTGATAAATGTTAATCTTCTTGTTTGAGGAGCTGTTCACTTGAGACAGTTAAGCAAGTCCCAGCTGTGTCTGGGTACAAGTGACAGGATGAACAACCCAGCGGGTTTTCTTCCTATTGGGGAGTGTTGTACATTCTGCTATGGCGGTATGTTCACTCACAAGATGAGTGGCGCTGCCCAATAAACTCGCCCCTCGGGGTAAAATATAATTTTAAACCCCTACTAGTACAACTGCGTCAATACTATGTCTAGGGTGATTGATTGATTGATGAAGATTAAGCCACCCAAAAGGTGGCACGGGCATGAATAGCCCGTAAGTGGTGGCCCTTTTGAACCATTACCAGTATCAATAGATGATACTGGAAATCTGTGGTGGTGCGACTGCACCCTGCGTGACGGGAGATGTCTCCCGTGATGTCTAGGGTAGATACGGATGAGTTAAATAACAGATAGAGAAGTTTGCTGTGATGTCATCGCCATCTCAGCAGCCACCTGATTGGCTCTCTCGGCAACACGTCCGATTCCTTGTATTATTAACTTACGCTCAATGTTCATATAATCAAAAATAAGTTCAAGTTTCACTTACTTTATTTACTTAAAAATAAAACATATGGCAAGAATGAAATTTTAAATATCAAGATTCTGTATAAATAGTGTATTATCTAATTGTTGAGGTAAAATGACTAGAATGAAGTGAAGCAGCCGAACAATGTGTTTATTTGGCATCTTGAGGTGAGGAGAGTTGCTGTCATGCCTGGACTCCTCTACCTCCTCTCCTGGCTCTCCACGCTCCTACAAATATGTCTAGGAACTCTAGCCCTCGGTCAGTAACAGCGTATAAGTCTATACCCACTCGGGACACATGGCTATTCGATATCTTCACCTAGGCATGTAATAAATGTTGTGTTTATCCACACCGCTTTGAACGTTTTCATAGCTAGGGTCTCTGCTCAGAGCTCCATCTTCAGCTGAAGGTGATGTTGTAAGGTAACCCTAACCTGTGATGACCAAACCACACACCAGAAGATGAAGAAACGACGATGTTTCGCTCCGTCTTGGACTATTATTATACACGACTTGATAATGATTATCTTGAGGTTATCTTAAGATTCAAATTCAAATTCAAATGTTTATTCAGGTAAAGTACATACATACAAGAGGTGATACAAAAATTGATAGATTTATAGATAGAGCTAGTACATAGTGCCTAAAGCCACTATTACGCAAAGCGTAATGATTGATGAAAAAAAGATGATTTCAGGTCTTAGCGTCCCCGTGGCCCGGTCCTCGACCAGGCTTCCTGGTTGTTACACACCCCCCAGGAAGCAGCCCGTAGCATCTGTCTAACTCCCAGATACTTATTTACTGCTAGGTGAACAAGAGCATCTGGGTGAAAGAAATTGCCCATTTGTTTCCACCTCCACTGGGGATCGAACCCTGAACTTTAGGACTATGAATCCCGAGTGCTGTCCACTCAGCCGTCAGGCCCCACGTGGTCCAGGACGGACCGAAACGTGGTCGTTTCTTCATCTGGTGTGTAGTTTGGTCATCATTGGTCAGCATTATTGGGACTCGTCTTCTAACCCTAACCTGTCTTTAAGTAAGACAAGTCCCAAAAATGTAGACATAGATGGTTACCAGGAATGTGAGACCGGGTGAGGTGAGCTGCACTTGTAGTGTAGTGACTACCTGAGTGATCCTGGTCTGATTCTCTGCAGGTGGAGACATTTGGTCACATTTCCATTCACCCAATGCTTCATTCATCTAGCATAGGTATCTGGAAGCTAGTTAACTAATAAATAAATAAATAAATTTTTATTCGGGAAAAGTACATACGTAGTTGATTTACAAACATAATGTTGGATTTATAAATAGAGCTAGTACATACAATACCTAAAGCCATTAATACGCATAGCGTTTTGGGCAACTGTTGTGAGTTGCAACTTGGGAATGGCCAGTTGTTGACTAGGGAGACGATAAAGCTAACAAGCTGCCTGGCAACAGGAAACCATATTTAACAAAGACTTCATTAATCAGTCGGCAATCCCTGGACAGTAGAGTGACGGTCTCCCTTCTTGCAGATCGCCGTTCAATTCCTGACCGTCCAAGCTGTTGGGCACCATTCCTTCCCCCCCCCCCATCTTATCCCTAATCCTCGTGCTCTTCCCTTCCAAGTGCTATTAAGTCGTAATAGCTTGGTGCTTTTCCCTGATAATTCTCTTCCCTTCATCCAGTCAGTAATCCAAGTCATTGATGTAATGGTCATTGGCAGCATTCTTTCTTCTGTTGGAGTTACATTTGCAGCACATGTGATTCAAGACGTGAGAGAAAGATGTAGTACCCAGTGTAATATAGAGGCTACCACACTTGTTATGGCAGAACCTCTGCATGATTATAAGGTGTACAGAATTAACAGAGGCTCACCTTGCATCTGTAGTATTGTGATGTAGAGGTAGAAGCTAGCCTAGGTTTTGGAGGTAGATTAAATATGTAGTGAAGGCTTGGAGTGTTTGTGATGTACTCCCAACAGGTATTATTAGCCCCGAGTCAAATTGTGGATTCACAGGAGCTCCTCGGCACAATGTGGTTGTTCTCTCTTTCACGGAGGCGTGCTGTCCTGGGGATGGCACAGACAATCACCATCGGATATAACCTGGAGAAGGGAAATACCGTACTCCTGTTGGCAGGCAATTTAAATTTGACTCCTCCATAATGTTGGAGGAGTCAAATTTGACTCCTCCATAGGTCATCCATGTCGTAGATATGTCGGATAGAAGCCTGTGGAATACTGGGTTCTTTGAATACTGTATCAACAAATTGTATAGCATTGTTTCACATACTATTCTGTTTGGTGTAACTGGAATTAAGATAAAACTATTATATACGTTTACAATGACTATGAGGAATAAAAAAGTTGGTGGGCATGTGAAATGCATGCCACCTGGTAGTACAGTAGTGAAGACAGGTGACTGGTAGTGCATATTTTGTCTTGGTGAAACGGTTGTTCTTGGATGTTGATGAGGTAATGCAACAGTGGGAAGGGAACTATCAGGAGAAAGTGCCAAGCCATTACAACTATATAACACTTAAAATGGATCAGGATAAGGATTTGGGACGAAACAGGAAGGATGGGGGAAAGGAATGGTGCTCAACTACTTGGACGGTCAGGGGATTGAACACAGACCTGCATGAAGCAAGACTGTCACTCTTCCGTTCAGCCCAAGTGGTTGCAACAGTGTGGAAGATCCTGTTCACTTGAGTTTATTGTATGAAAGTTTAAGATATATACACAGTGAGTAAGATGAAGTTCTGGGTTTCCCTTTATTTCTGCTGCCTTTCATGTATGGAAGGCTGATCTAGACTACAGTATAAGCTAATATTAGGCAATTTTCTTTCTAGCTGCAGCACTCTATTACCTAGCAGAGTTGGTCGAAGAGTATACCAGCACAGCAGCTAAGGTTCTCAGAATTTGGATATGGGTAAGTTTTACCCTACTGTAATTTTATTGTGAAAAACAAGTACCTATAGGTATAAAAACATATTTAAGAATGAGCTGTAAATGCAAACTCAATAATGCTTTCAAAATTTTGTGTGCAGAGCCTCCTTTGGTTGCTCTTTTATATACAGCCATGAGTCCACTCAGGTCACTTTAACACTTTCCCTTCCCCACCGTATGGTCTCTAGACTTCCTCAGGAGCGCCGAGCATTGGCCGTGAGTGCGTGGCCAGACTTAAATATGTATGCTCTTTTAAGTTTTCTCACCTCAATTTTTGTCTTACTGCATTAATTTTGGTATCTATTTGTTCCCAATAGAATTCCCTACAGGGATATATACATATGAAGTCCAAAAGCCAGAGGTGCCATCCGCACTAAACTCACAAATTGGCTGAGGGTTACCCGTGAGCGCTCAACACCACCAAAATGTGTGCACTCTTTGTGGGATTCTCACCTCAATTCTCGTCCTACATCATTTAATATGGTATCAATTTGTTCACAATAGAATTCCCTACAGGGATATATGCATATAAAGTCCAAATTCCAAGCCAACCTCCCCCCCCCATCTCCACAGCAAAGGTGAAAGTCAGTCACATCACACGACTTGCACTTATATTTGGTGTCCTTCCTTTTACCATTTCTGGAGCAACACGACACTTCAGCCCTTTCTGAATGTGAAATAGGGAATGGTTCAATTTGCTGATCAGATGTTCTGGTTTATCAACAATATGAGGGTTTCACCTAGCAGTGGTGAAGTTTCTCAACAATACAAGCAGTTTCTCCTAGCAGTTGTCATGTGGAGGTGAAGATGGGAATAGTGGCCACCTCACACCTGATGGTCCGGGTGTAATAAATAACTGTATAAATCCCAGAGGAGTGCTTGGTACTGGTACAGTCAAGTCTGGTGTTTCAGTAAAACTGTCTACAAATGGTGGAGTGTTGTCAGTTGACCAGGCTTCACCACAACATTCGCATTTCCTATATGCGGTGTGTCCACGCGTACCTGTGGTGGTAGGGGGCTCAAAATCACCAATCCCCTCACATTCAAGTTCATCCTTACCTGCTGTTTCAGTTTCAATAAACTCACTATCTTCATCACCCACTTTTGTCACTTTCATCTTCAAAATCAGAAAAATCACCAAATATAGACTGTATTTCCAGTTTACAGGGTTAGTTTCACAGCCCTGTATTTTTGGCGAATCTTTATGCCACATGGCCCCAACAGAAAATGGGAAGACATTGGCACAAACTTTAAAACACGTCCCAAAATGATTGGATAAAAAATGGAATTTTAACAAATATATTAAAATCGGACGTCATAGACATCCCTCCCGAACATCCGCAGAGTTAATTACGGACGTCGTATACGTCCCTCCCAAATGAAAGTGTTAAGCAGGCAGGCTCTGGTTGAAGTCAAGTCCTACAGGAACAAGTAACTTTTCAATGGTCTTCTTTCATAGTCAAGGGAAAGTGAGATTGAGGAGAGTTGTTACCTCAATCCATCTACTGAAAGAAGAAACTCACAATAACACCAAAGAAAATATTAAACTATTAATTTTACCCAATGATTGATTGACCTTCAAACAATCATTGGGATCACAAAGATAGCCAATAATTGTTCTGTAAATACCAGTATATCATTAACCAGCTACAGTACTCACTATAGTGACCTCCACTAGATGTCACCACTAGTTAGTAGCACAGGGTCGGAGGAGGTGGCAGCCCACCAGTTTAGGTGCCGTTCAGAGAGGATCATTAAATTAAACTCTGTGCCTCCCTTTTTTTTTTTTTTTTTTTTTTTTTTTTTAGCAAGGCCCTCTTTAGGGTCCTACCCAGCCAACTTGACACAATGGAGGACACGTTTATTTAAAATAACAAATTTAATTGCACTCCTACACATTCATTGGTGCATTCCCATTAAAATACCATTACAGGTGATTTTAGCATGTATCTTTAAATATGTACCAAAATTAAGAAGTTTCCAATAAATATATCTCAATCTGTACTGTATTCAAATTTTCAGTTATCCAAACATCGAGGTACCAAATAGTTTGGATAATTGAGGTCATACTGTATATTCATGATCCTCACATGTTCATCAGTTCTATAAATTATTCATAATATTACTGCCAATCTCTTATTAATTTTGGTCATCTATCCTTTTTCTCAAATTCAACTTAACATTTTCTTCATAATTACCAACTTATTTATTCAACTGGTCATATATTATTTGACGCTTTTGTTATCATTTATTCCTTACTGTTGATTGGAGCATTAGATTTTCCTGCCATATTTTTTATTTTGTCTTTTTTTTGTGGGGAACCCCTCCAGCTGCCTGGAGCTGTCGGACTGATATACGCTATACAGTGGTGCCTCTGTTAAAGAATTTAATCCGTTCCGGCACCACGCTCATCATGTGAAACACTCGTCTTGCGAAACAACAACAACAACACTGTCGTCGGAGGCGTCTGAGAACCAGCGGGAATGCTAGGAATCACCATGTAGTTTGCTCGTTAATCGAGTGAAAGCTCGTCAATTGAGACAAATTTTTGGCAAGTGGCTTGCTCGTTTCTCGAAATGCTCGTAGATAGAGCCGCTCGTCACTCGGGGTTCCACTGTATTAGTCTGATGCATTAGTCAATTGGAGTTCGCCTACTGGGGACCATGAGCCAGTACCTGGCCCCCCTCAGAGAGACAAAGGGAGTAGTGTCCTATGGAGACCCTCGTGTATTTCAGAGAATTCCATGTCTGCCATCGACTGGGGTTATGCACCCAGAGAGGTAGGCATAACAAAACAGACCCCAATTGGTAAGAAAATTGCAATCAAAGACTGAATAGAGAGGCAGAACTCCCCCAGCCCAAAGAAATTAGCAAACAAGCAAACGTCATACACTGCCGCCGTGCTGCTTGTCCGTGCAGCCCTCCCCTCCCCGGGAGGGGGTGGGGGAGCCCCGGACCCCCCTCCCCCATGCTGGCTACTCACGCCTCATGAGGAAAAGCAGTGGTGCAAGAACTGTACCTCAGGGTATAGTCCTTGCACCTCTTCATTTCCTCATTCCCATATTAGATATAAACTTGAATACAAGTCACAGCTTTGTATCATCCTTTGCAGATGACACAAAAATCAGCATGAAATTACCTCAGCTGAAGACATTAAAACACTACAAGTAGATATTAATAAAGTTTTTGACCGAGCAGCAGAAAATAACATGATGTTTAACAGTGATAAATTCAAGATACTCAGGTACTGTAAAAATGAGAACCTTAAACATAATACAGGTTACAAAACACAATCAAATCTGCCCATAGGAAAACAACATGTATTTGCTGGTGACCAGTGTTCACCAGCAAATATTGCGTCAGCCAGAAAAATGACAAGATGTAATACGAGAACTTTCAAATCCAGGGATCCCATCACAATGGTTGTACTCTTCAAATCACTTGTGCTGTCCCATCTTGAGTACTGCTCAGTACTCACTTCCACCTTCAGAGCAAGAGTGATTGCAGAAATAAAGGGAATATAGAGAACATATACGGCATACATAGACGCAATAAAGCACCTAAATTATTGGAATCGTCTCAAAGTTCTCCAAATATACTCACCAGAAAGGAGAAGAGAGATATCAAATAATATACAGGTGGAAAATACTGGAGGGCCAGGTCCCAAATCTACACAGTAAAATAACAACTTCTGGAGTTAACAATAATGGAGTTAACGATATGGAAGAAAATGCAGAATAGAACCAGTGAAGAGCAGGGGGTGCCATAAGCACAATCAGAGAACACTGTATAAACATCAGAGGTTCACGTTTGTTCAACCAGTGAGTATAAGAAATATTGCCGCAACAACCGTGGACATCAAGAGAAAACTAGATAGTTTTCTTCAAGGAGTGCCAGACTAACCGGGCTGTGGTGGATATGGGGACCTGTGGGTTGCTCCAAGCAACAGCCTGATGGACCAATCTCTCACATGTTAAGTCTGGCCTTGGGCCGGGCTTGGGCAGTAGAACAACTCCCAGAACCCCATCAAGTAGGTACCTCCAGTTTGAAGGCTGATGCGCTCTGGGGCGGGCATCGACTCTGGCCTCGGTTTCTTGGCAGTATTTTTTTTTTTTTGAGATATATACAAGAGTTGTTACATTCTTGTACAGCCACTAGTACGCGTAGCGTTTCGGGCAGGTCCCTGGAATACGATCCCCTGCCGCGAAGAATCGTTTTTTCATCCAAGTACACATTTTACTGTTGCGTTAAACAGAGGCTACAGTTAAGGAATTGCACCCAGTAAATCCTCCCCGGCCAGGATACGAACTCATGACATAGCGCTCGCAGAACACCAGGCGAGTGTCTTACCACTACACCACGGAGACTGTTTGTCTTAGTGGTGTATACTGCTGTTTGTGGTGCAGTAGCCAGGTGAAATTAGGGGCTGCATGAGCTTAGGGCTGCCTTCCCTAAGCTCCCTGTAAGTACTACCCTTGGGTTCTGGGGTTACCTTCCATTAGGCCTTCGGGATTCCACTTCCATAGGAGTTCTTGCTGCTCAGCATTTACCCCGCCCTTGGGTCCAGCTGGAGTTTTCGTGGCCTTTGTTAGGCCTTGTAGGAAGTGGTATTGTTCCTGATTGGGACGCAAGGTGCTGCGCAGTTTGCCTACCTATGCAGCAGCCGTGTTCCTGTTCCTTCTGGTGACATACTTTTGCGGGCTCCCCCCCCCCCCTCCTTGGGAAGGGGAAGGGGGAGCCCCAGACCCCCTGTGCCGGCAATCCACCCTGCAGTTCTTCGGCTGATGGGATACGGCTTGGTCGTTGTGGCTCCAGCTCCAGACTCTTGTTGTGTTGTCCTCTGTTTCAGTACTGCTCTTACAGTGTTGTGCGAGCTGGGAGTAATATTCACAGGAATTCGGGCTGCATGTGCTTAGTGTCACCTTTTCCGAGTACCCTGTAAGAACCACACTGGGGGGTTGGGGTTCCCTTCCACAAATCACCTTGGGTCTGCCTCTGTTGGTCTTTTGCTGCTTGCCGATTGACTGCCCTGAGTGTTTTGGGGGGTTTCCTCCCTGGTTTGCCTTGTGGTAAGTGGTAGTTTTTGCATTGGTAGGGGCACGGGGTACTGCGTAGCTAGTTTTTACCTATAACAGTAGCCGGCTCTGTTCCCTCTGGATACACTGTCCTCTTGCGAGGTTTTTCTTTTATTTTTGTTTTTGCCTGGTGGGGAGTCTGCCTTGGTGTTCATTCCCCTTTATACTAGGGTTGTTTGTGTTTGGTGGTACCCCCCTGCTAAGCCCTTGTGAGTGGACACATCCCGGAGGTTCAGCATTAGCAGTGTTGATTGGTAGCGTGAGTGTCGGTTAGCAGTACCCTGCTTGGGATTCCCCTTAACAGACCCAGTCTAGGGGCCCTGGGAAACCCAGCAGGGGCACTTGGGTTCAGTGGATGTGACCCCCTGAGTCTCCTCTCGCTTTTTGCGAGTTTGAGGGTTGCTCTGTTCCCTTGTCTCAGGGCGACACTCATTGTTTTTGCATCCGTCATGTTGTCTGTTGAGTTGGTGACACATTTGACCCGGAGTCCTGTGAGCTTTGTTGCTTGTTTGTGATTCGGTTCAGCCAATCTGATTGACATTATTCGGCTGCAGACGTCTCGCACGCTGCAGGATAGGTTTAGGTTGTTACAGCGCACTAGGTTGGTTGCTTCCCCCCGGATACCCCGAGGCTGCCCCGTTTTATTTATGGGTTCGGCTCCTCTCCGGGTTTGGTTCAGTGTCCCTGTGGGTCCTTCGGTTCCGTTCTTCCGGAGGTTTTCGGCTTACCGCATCTCTCCGTCAGAGTTGTGGGTGGCCATTGCAGCTTATCTCCTGCGGGACCCGGAGTATGTCTCTATAACGGATCCGTCTTCCTTCAGGTTTGGGTCTTCGTCGCCATACTGGGTTCATTATGAGGTTCTGGAGTCGTCCTGGCTTGCGGACTACCCTATGTTTTCGCTGGATGCTTGGGATGCCTTTTGTCGTACCCGCACGCTTGAGTAGCGCGAGGTGTTGACTGTGGTCCAGGTTTACCTGGGGGGGGGGGGGGGACGACTTTGCTTCACCAAAGATCCCCGGTCTTTGGTGAAGTAGCTCCGGGGAGCCATAGGGGCTTTCCCTGAAAACCAGAGTTGAATGTAATGAAATGCCATTTTCTGGGAGAATCTCAGAGGCTCCGGGATTCGGAGCTTTGGAAAACCTTCCCTCCCTCTGGTTGGGGGGTTTCAAGTTTTTTTATATCCAGCCTCGGAACTGGAGGTGTGAATCGCCAGAGCGAGGGTCTGGGACTTCCCCTTCCCCCTCCTGGGGAGGGGGGAGCTGCGCAGACATGCGGTGCGGCTCATGTGACGTCATGCTTGTTTGCTCGTTTTTCCTTGGGGAAGTTCTGTCCATTTGTTTCGTTATTTTCGTTGGTTTTACCAGAATAGGGGTTTATTTTGAGGCGCTTACCTTTTTGGGTGCCTGTCCCAGTTGATGGCAGATATAGAATGCTCCAAAATCACATGTGCATTTCTATAGGCCATTGCTCCTCGTGCCTCTCTGAGGGGACCAGGCTCTGGCCGTTGTCCCCAGTAGGCCTAGAACTCCACCCACATCGACTGATGCCAAAAGTTAGGACTATCCCTATCAGCCTGGATAGCTCCGGAAAGCCTCTGGGACTCACCCAGAAAATGACGTTTCATTACATTCAACACTAGTTTTTTGCCCCCTCCTTTTGGATGACCACTCTGTCCCAGGTCTGGTTTCTGCTGGAGCCGGGCGCTTGGATGGTGTCCCTGGACCTCAAGAACGCATATTGGCATGTCCCGATTCATCCGGGGTTCAGGGACTGGTTCGGTTTTGTTTTGGGGCGCCAGAGTTACCATTTTCGTTATCTCTCTTTTGGGTTGAACCTGGCACCTCGCATGTTCACACGCCTTACCCGAGTCATGGTGGTCTGTCTGCGTCTGTTAGGTGTTCGGTTGTTGGCTTACCTTGACAACTGGCTGGTTTGGGCTCCCAGTCGGTCCTTGCGTCTGCTCGCCAGGGATTTGATGCTTTCCCAGCTAGCCGGGTTTGGGTTCCTGGTGAACTGGCAGAAGCATATATCAGTCCGATAGCTCCTGGGAGCCAGAGTGGCTCCCAGGAGCCAATCCCAAGGAGCCATTACATTCAATGCTAGTTTTTTTCAACAAAAATATTGTTGCGAACCCATTAGGGTTATTCTTTACTAAGTATGGTATTTATTTACTGTAATTAAGCAAGCTCTCAACCTTTGTCAACTTATTTTCCTGGTATTTAACTTTTCACTGAGGTAAGAGATATTAAGCTAATACACTTATTATTCGTATGTAAGGTGATGAACCTCAGCCTAACACTTGATAGTCTGTCATGTATACTGCGTATTGGGTATGCTCGGGTAAAGAAGAATGACTGAAAATTATTACTATTTTAGAACTGTTTGTGTCAAGAATAAACAGAACTGTTTGTGTCAAGAATAAACAGAACTGTTTGTGTCAAGAATAAACAGAACTGTTTGTGTCAAGAATAAACAGAACTGTTTGTGTCAAGAATAAACAGAACTGTTTGTGTCAAGAATAAACAGAACTGTTTGTGTCAAGAATAAACAGAACTGTTTGTGTCAAGAATAAACAGAACTGTTTGTGTCAAGAATAAACAGTACCATGTTTCATATTGCTTATTTGACTAATTTGTTATATTTCATTGTGGTATTTTACAGGTAACAATTGGGTTGTACATTTTACTCTTCTTGTTTGAGAGTTTGCCAGCATCAGTGATCTTGTGCGGCCTCTTCTCGCAGCTGGTGCACCTCTCCATCCTCCGCACATTTCCCTTCTTCTTCTTAACCTCCTTGCCATTTATTCTTGGCATTGGTAAGTTTGTTTGCATTTCTTATTACTGTAATTTAATTCAAACAATTACAAAATTATTTTCATTATTCAAAATAGCCTAGGTCACCTATCTAAAATAATATATTTTACCATATGATTAAATATGCTGGTATCTAAACAAAATTCTAGTCTCATAACTGCCTGTGACTCTCCTTACCATTTTGTTGTAGCTAGGACATAATTTTTTCTGCGTCTTTATTTAGATGATGTGGACTATTTCCAAAAATTATTACAAATATGTTTGCAACATGGAATTGGGTGCAAATTTTGGTAGCTGTGCAGTCTTTTGAAAGACTGATCAATAGTAAAGAGGAAGACTGGAAAACAGAGTTTCTGTTTTAGATCTAAATGTTTGATACATTCTAGTGAATGTCTTAGCGTAAAAATGCTTGAAGACTTCTTTGTGTGACACATTCTGATTTTAATTTAGATGAAGATGAAATGTCAAAAATATTTTTTTTTTAGAACATGGTAATTTTGTTGTGCTTCCAAACTGCTGCATAAAAAATGTCATCATTTTTATTTTTAGCGTACAAAACATACATTATAATTACAGTACAGTTTTTTTTCTTCCAGTTTTGTTCTTCGTCAATCATTTCCTGGCATTCTCGTTCTTTGCCACATATTACTATCCAGTATCCGAGGTAAGTGAAGTGCTGCATCTGTCAGTTTGTATTTTACTCATATTTTCACTACAATTTATTTAATAGGAAAAGAATACAAATTCAGGTTGAGAAGAGCAGTGTGTGTGTGCAGATGAATGACACTGTAGAAAAACATGTAGTTAGAAGTAGTCGTTATTCATGACGCTTTTGCCTGTAGAACCTCATCAAATGTCCTACCAACAAAGGTTATTGAATGGTATGGAGAGAAGACGAGGGCGGAGAAGTGGCTACGGGAGAGGGAGACCAGCAGGGAGTGTTGAAGAGTGTGGAGAGAGGACGAGGGTGGAGGAGTGGCTACGGGAGAGGGAGACCAGCAGGGAGTGTTGAAGAGTGTGGAGAGAGGACGAGGGTGGAGAAGTAGCTACGGGAGAGGGAGACCAGCAGGGAGTGTTGAAGAGTGTGGAGAGAGGACGAGGGTGGAGGAGTGGCTACGGGAGAGGGAGACCAGCAGGGAGTGTTGAAGAGTGTGGAGAGAGGACGAGGGTGGAGGAGTGGCTACGGGAGAGGGAGACCAGCAGGGAGTGTTGAAGAGTGTGGAGAGAGGACGAGGGTGGAGGAGTGGCTACGGGAGAGGGAGACCAGCAGGGAGTGTTGAAGAGTGTGGAGAGAGGATGTGATCGTATTGGAGTGAATGATATGGAAGAAAATTTAGAGCCAGTGAAGAGCCGGGGTGTCATAGGCACAATCAGAGAACACTGTATAAACATCAGAGATCCACGAATGTTCAACATTCTCCCAGCGAGCATAAGAAATATTGCCCAAACAACTGTGGACATCTTCAAGAGAAAACTAGATAGTTTTCTTCAAGGAGTGCCAGACCAACTGGGCTGTGGTGGATATGTGGTCCAGTGGGCTTCTCCAAGCAACAGCCTGTTGAACCAAGCTCTCTCAAGTCATGCCTGGCCTCGGGTCGGGCTTGGGGAGTAGAACTCTCAGAACCTTCTCCAGGTATGCTCCAGGTAGATGATGGAACAGGGAAACTATGCCAGTACCATAATAGACCTTCGACGAAAGGCAGATATTTCATTCTTTGTTAAAAAATGTCCGAATCCCATTTCTTAAAGGTCGTAGGTATCTGTCACTTGCATCTCTTCTGGCTGTCTTTAATGAAACTTCACACACGTCTATATTAATTAACCTCTGACCATACTCTAATTTCTGATGGGTTTTTCAATCAATCCATTATGTCTGCATTCACTAGGTATACCATTGCTTGGCCCTGCAAACTAATATTTTCTTTGAATTTTTGGTTACAACAAATGTTAATTGTTACTTCATAGTGAAATGGTGCAGTTATCTGTACTTCTTCATAATGGGAATGTTAGAGATTTGTTCTTGGTAAAATAACATTATTTTGTGATAACATAAGACCAAATAATTATGCATGTGTAATGTTTGTACACTTATTTCAGGTGCTGGCGTATTTCACCTTATATGTTTGGCTAGTCCCATTTGGCTTCTTCATCTCCCTCTCGGCAAATGAGAATGTGCTGCCAACACGAGCAGAGTCAAGACCCTTACTTTCAAGTAAGATTTGTGATCAAATGGTTATTTTTATAATTTAAAATTAGAGTACTGTACTGTACCATAGTCCATTCAAGTGGATAGATTCGTACCAGACACCTTTGGCTGCAATCGGAATTCCATTGCACCTGAAGTTTATTTTAAAAAAATTTAGGTTTATTTCACTCTTTATTTATTCCAAACTAGCAGTACCCGGCCACGTGTTGCTATGGCTCAGCAACCCTTGTGCATTGCTGAGCCACAGCAACCTTCCCTGTCCCCTAGTCCTCCCCACCATTCCCCCCTCACCCGTCTTCTCGGCCTCCCAACCATTCCCCACTCCACCATCCCCTCGTCCTCCCCACCATTTCCCACTCCTCCATCCCCAATTCCTTCCCACCATGCCCCTCTCCCCTGTCCCTTTGTCCTCTCCACCATTCTCCATTCCCTCGTCCCCACCATCCCAAACTCCCCGTCCCCTCGTCATCCTCATCATTCCCCACTCCCTCATCTGATGCCTTCCTAGATGGTCTGAGCCCATCAGAAAATTGGGAACATCAAATGATCTGATGTTCTCATCACTGAAATATAAGAAAAACAGTTAAAAAATTAAATGAAAATATGAAAAAATAAAGCAATAAACTATACTCGCGAAATGAACAGTATGGTAAATAACACAGCTCAATTCCAACACAGTCACAAAATAATTCAATAAAAAAATAAAATAAATCGAAATCTATGAAAATAAAATGCAATAGAAAATTATCAATGCAATCGGAAACATTGAAATGGAATTCGTGACATTTAGTATAGCGTGCACGTTGCTATTATGTGTAACAGATGGCGCTGTTTTGCCTGTTTCTACCTGTCACAGGGGTGGCATCTATATAGTAGGTATATAAAAAGACGCACCTATTCGAATGCAACGTTGCGTCAAAATTTCAAAGCAATCGGCGAAGAACTTTCGGAGATTACAGCGTGTGTTGTTCTTACGTTCAACAGATGTCACTGTTTCTTTTTTTTTCTTTTCTTAATGTTTTTTCCCTGTCACAGGTGAGGCATCATGTATATAGTAAATATATAAAAAGACACGCCTATTCAAATGCAATGTTGTATCAAAATTTCAAAGCAATCGGTAAAGAGGTTTCAAAGATTTCCCTCACATGAAAAACACAGTTTTTCAGAAAAAGCATGTTTTTTTACTGTCACAGACGTGACATCTATATAGTATGCATATAAAAACCTGCTCGGATGCGAATGAAATGTTGTGTGAAAATTTCAAAGCAATCAGTGAAGAAATTTCAGAGATTAGCAGTCATGCACAAACGAACATTTCCATTTTTATTTCTATAGATGATAGATGATGAAACATGAATAAATAACAAATTGTGCAAGTGATTTTACTACATATTTTTAAACATTTTGTTAATATTTTTTGGCACCAAACGCAAGCCCAGAAAATGTATGGAATTTCTCCACTGGATTATTTTTTTTCACACAATACTGAATGATGATTGTACTACTAGAACTGACTTTTCTGGCAGAGCCCCATAGTGTCTTCCTGTGGCTATCTTGCTGAGATTGCTACAATCTACCAGTTACATCAGTTGCATGAGTTTATTTGGCTTACTGGGAACCAGAACCAAAACCTGCCCCCCCCCCCCCCTCACATGAGGTGCAGGGGGGAGGGGCAAATGACATTCCTCCATTTCATCAGGAAAGCATCCAGAAAGTCAGTGAAGCTTTTACAGACAACTGCTAGGTTTACAAGACTTAAAGCCCACTAAACTGCCAAATAACTCGCCAAATAATGTAAAATAAACAAGAGAAAACACAAAACTCACTAATGCCTGTTAACACCGAATGCTGCCACCTGGCGGCCCAGAGCTCTGTCTAGCGTCAGCTGTAAGATCAGCTCATCTGCCGGTGCATAACCTAGAGCAACGCTGTAGTACTCCATTGTCACATCATTTTGCAGGAAGTCCCAGAGCTTCTAACTTTTTGGTCATTGTATCCGACCTTTTGATGCATTCATTTCCATTCGGATGATGCCCACAAAAGTGTGGAATTGGGTAATTACAATGAATAAGATGTTGCAAATAATTTGATTATTAATAAAATACTTTACACTCAAGCTTTGCAGTTAAGAAGATATTATTAACAAACATTATGGCTTTGCATTCCAGATGATGATGATTTTGTTACTGGATACTTCAACAAAAAAGGCAAGAGATATGGACTTCTCTCATTCTTTAACTACCTTAAAGAAGAGTTCTTTCCGCAGCGCGGGAAGAAGTCATTTTAACGGGCAGGGGAATCCCTCCAAACAAAAATAACCACCTGTATAGTTATCTTTATACAGTATAATGTATATAAAAAAGCTGAAATTGTGTAGATGTGTAAGGCATGGATGTTGTTTTTACTATTAACTAATTTCATGATTATAAATATGCTCCAGGTACATATGATAAACTAATTCAGAATTTTTCAGTAATAGCTTTTGTACTAAATAAATATAAATTGTAAAATCCCCAAAATTCAGTATGAAAAACACATCCAGAACCATATTAGGGTAAATGTATGTCTTCTGTTTGACCAATGTTATTATAAACACATTTGTGATATGTAAACCATAAACCAGAATATACTGTCACCTGTTATATATGTTATTTATATATAGTAAGCCATTGTTGAAGACAGGTGTGAATAAACTGGTTTATGCATTTGATGCTCATTTCCACATGTGTTGCACATTTTGTAACGACTAAGTAAATATAATTGAGCACAAAAACATTTTCTTAGAATTCACCCTGAATTTGGTTAACCATTTTCTGGTTTTAGCCAGAAGCGTACAATCTATGCTGATTTATCCTTGTACAGTACTTGATTATTCTGTGTTATTAGAACTTGAAGTGCATGTGTTGACTGGTTTTCCATCTAATAGTATGTAGTGTACTCGCCTAGTTGTGTTTGCAGGGGTTGAGCTCTGGCTCTTTTGTCTCGCCTCTCAACAGTCAATCTTTTGGTGTACAGATTCCCGAGCTTCTCGAGCTCTATCATATCTACATTTGAAACTATGTATGGAGTCAGCCTTCACCACATCACTGCCTAATGCATTCCATTTACTAGCTACTCTGACACTGAAAAAGTTATTTCTAATGTCTCTGTGGCTCATTTGGGTACTCAGTTTCCACCTATGTCCCCTTATGTGTGTACCACCCATATTAATTAAATAATCCATCCTTGTCTACCCTGTCAATTTCCCTGAGAATTTTGTATGTGGTGATAATGTCTCCCCGAGCTCTTCTGTCTTCCAGCGACGTGAGGTGCATTTCACACAGCCTTTCCCCATAACTCGTGTCTCTTAGTTCTGGGACTTGCCTAGTGCCATACCTCTGAACTTTTTCCAGTTTCATCTTGTGCTTGACAAGGTACGGGCTCCATGCTGGGGCCCGCATACTCCAGGATTGGCCTTACATACTTGGTACACAAGGTTCTAAAAGATTCCTTACACAGCTTTCTGAAGGCAGTTCTAATGTTAGCCAGCCTCGCAAATGCTGATGTTATTCTTTTGATGTGGGCTTCAGGAGACAGGTTTGGTGTGATATCAACTCCTAGATCTTTATCTCTGTCTGTTTCGTGAAGGACTTCATCTCCTCTGCTACAGGAAAAAATTAAAATATAAAAGCAGAAACCATGTACAAAACACAGTCAAATCATAACAGAACGAAAAAGCAATGTAAAGGATTTGGGTGTACTCATGTCGGAAGGCGTTACCTTTAAAGGACACAATAAAGTAGCCGTCACAACTGCAAGAAAAATGACAAGTTGGATAACAAGAACTTTTCAAACTAGAGATGCTATATCAATGATGATACTTTTCAAGATGCTAGTGCTCTCTAGAGTGGAATACTGTTGCTCAATAACAGTCCCTTTCGAAGCTGAAGAAATTTCTGACCTGTAGAGCGTGCAGAGATCTTTTACTGCTAGAATCCATTCAGTAAAACATCTAAACTATTGGGACCGACTGAAAGCCTAAATCTGTATTCTCTTGAACGCAGGCAGGAGAGAGACATAATAATTCACTCATGGAAAATAGTAGAGGGGCTGGTTCAAAACCTGCACACAGAAATAACACCACATAAGACCAGGAGGCATGGCAGGATGTGCAGAATACCCCAGTTGAAAAGCAGAAGTGCAATAGGTACTCTGAGAGAGAACTCTATCAACATCAGAAGCCTGAGACTGTTCAACATGCTTCCACTACACATAAGGGGCATAACTGGCCGACCGCTCAGTGTTTAAGAAAGAACTTGACAAGCACCTCCAAAGGATACCTGATCAGCCAGGCTGTGACTCATACATCGGGCTGCGAGCAGCCGCATCCAACAGCCGGGTTGACCAGTCCAGCAACCAGGCGGCCTGGTCGATGACCGGGCTGAGGGGCAGGACACTAGGCCCCGAAAACACCTCAAGGTAACTCATTCAGCATCCTGTGTCTGGCCTATTTTCTCCACCTACTTTCATTACCTTACATTTATTTGGGTTGAACTTTAGTAGCCATATGTTGGACCATTCTGTCAGCTTGTCTGGGTCATATTTTAGCCTCATACTGTCTTCCTCTGTCTTAATCCTCATAATCTTTGCATCATCAGCAAATATTGAGAAGAACAAGTCTATTCCCTCTGAGAGATCATTTACATACATCAGAAACAGTAGGTCCAAGGACTGATTCCTGTGGGACCCCACTGGTGATGCCTCTCCACTCCAAGACCTCACCCCTCACAGTGACTCTGTCTTCTTTTATTTAGGTACTCCCTTATCCAGTGGAGTACCTTCCCTTTCACTCTTGCCTGCATCTCCAGTTTGTGCACTAGTCTCTTATGTGGTACTGTTTCAAAGGCTTTCCTGGCAATCCAAGAATATGTAGTCTGCCCAGCCTTCTCTTTCTTGCCTGATTTTTGTTGCCTGATCATACAAGTCAGTTAATCCTGTGAGGCATGATTTGCCATCTCTGAACCCATGCTGATGTTGTGTTACAAAGCTCGTTCGCTCCAGATGTTCCACTAGCTTTTTTCGCACAATCTTCTCCATCATCATGCATGGTATGCAAGTTAGGGACACCGGCCCGTAGTTCAGTACCTCCTGTCTATCACCCTTCTTGAATATCGGGACTACATTAGCTGTCTTTCAAATTTTTGGCATTTTACCTGTTACCAGTGATTTGTTATACACCATGGAGAGTGGCAGGCACAGAGCTTCTGCTCCTTCCTTCAGTATCCATGGCGAGATTTCATCCGGCCTATAGCTTTGTCACATCAAACTCTATCAGATGCTTCCTCACCCCCCCCCACTGGTAATCACAAACTCCTCTAGTGATATTTGGTTAGATATTCCCTCTCTTATCTCTGGGACTTTCCCTTGCTCTACTGTTTAGACCTGAAATTTCCTATTTAGTTCCTCGCACACTTCCTTGTCGTTTGTAGTGAATTTGTCTTCCCGTATCCTCAGTTTCATTACCTGTTCCTTCACTGTTGTTTTTTTCCTGATGGTGCTGTGCAGCAATTTAGGTTGAGTCTTTGCCTTGCTTGCTATGTCATTTTCATATTGTCTTTCAGTTTCTCTTCTCACCCTGATGTATTCATTCCTGATGCTCTGGTATCTTTCTCTGCTCTCTAGTGTCCCATTATTTGTATAGTTTCTCCATACCCTTGTACTTAGTTGATTTCCTAGCTTACATCTCTGATTAAACCATGGGTTTCTCATCTGCATTTCATTTTTTCCTTTTTGGACTGAAATGAACTTGTCTGCTGCCTCTACACTCCTGCATGATGTAGTCCATCTTGTCTTGAGCCGTCTTTCCTTTGAGCTCTGTTACCCATGTTATGACTTTTCTTATCTCCTCATAGTTTCCCTTCAAGAATGCCAGCATTTTGTTTTCTGGTCCCTTCCTTGAGCACATTAACCTTACTTCGACCAGATACTCAAACATCAGTACACTGTGATCGCTCGTTCCCATGGAGGCTTTGAAACAGATTTCCCTTATGTCGGAGTCATTCAGAGGGAAGATTAGGTCGAGTCTCACTGGTTCATCATTGCCTCTCATTCTTGTGGGTCCCCTGAAATGCTGACTTAAAAAGTTTCTTGTTACTACTTCCAACAGTTTAGCTCTCCATATTTCCTCACCTCCATGTGGTTCCTTGTTTTCCCAGTCTATCCTGTATTTGAAGTCCCCCATGATGAGTAGATAGGATCTATTTCTACAGGCAGCAATGGCTGCTCTCTCTAATTATAGTGTTAACCGCCATGTTGTTTCTGTCATACTGGGTCTACTGTCATTTGGTGAAGGGTTATATATCACTGCCACTACTACTCCTGGTCCTCCTATCAGCATGGTGCCTGTTATGTCGTCTCTGAACATCGTTACACTTAATAAGCTTGTGTGTGTGTGCGTGTCAGTGCTTGAAGCAGGTGTGTTTGTATATCTTAAGGCCCTAGGGCCCTCACAACAGTGCTTGAAGCTTTTTCAATGGGACCACAAGTGCTCTGTAGGTTACAGGAACTTTGCCTGCATGTGGCAGGCTGCTGCATTCTCCATTATTCACCCGTTTGCCATAATTGGAACTATGTGGTGTGTGTCTTGCTTTGCCTGAAGGGAATCCTGAAGGGGATCTTGCATCATCAAAAAGGAGTAGGGGCCAGATTCACGAAAGCACGTACGCAAGCACTTACGAAGATGTACATCTTTCCTCAATCTTTGACGGCTTTGTTTAGATTTATTAAACAGTTTACAAGTATGAAAACTTCCCAATCAACTGTTGCTATTGTTATAAACAGCCTCCTGGTGCTTCGGAACTCATTAACTGTTTATTAATTGGAAACAAAGCTGCCAAAGATCGAGAAAAGATGTACAGGTTTGTAAGTGCTTGCGTAAGTGCTTTCGTGAATCTGGCCCCAGGACATTTCATTATTTTTTCATGAATTAAGTGTGTCCAATACACACCTAACCAAAGCCATTTCCCATCGCCTATTACAGTGGCTATAAATATAAATATTTATTCAAGGATAAAGACCCTTAAGCTTGTGACTAGCTAGACCCAAATTTTTCCCAGTAATTGTTGGGTATGTGCTCATCGTAGGTGGGATGAAATTGGCTTAAAAAAAAAAAAAATTGTGCCTACAGACATTACCATGAAAATCTCGCAATGCCATATAACTTGACTCTGAATTATTATTATCATTATAATTTATTATTTATTTTTTTCTATATTGGAAACTGTGTGCATTGATCATGCAAAAAAATACAAGAATCTAATAACACTTTCCCTTTAGATTTCCCCCGCAAAACTGATGATATGGATTCGCCCCCCCCCCCTCCTCAGACTTTATGGTGCGAGTAGATGAAGCGACTGTGTGAAGTATTCTTACAGTGTTGTGCAGTGACGGTGTAGGAGAGATGGAGTGGGGGGTGAGGGAGCGGAAGAAGTGGAAAAAGATGAAGGGAGAAAAGACATACAGGAACACTGCTGGGTATAATGAATATAGTCTACAGGCTGTTGCCTGTATAATGAATGCTGTCTACAGATTATTGCCTGTATGATGAATGAAGTCTACAGGGTATTGCCTATATAATATATTCTGCACCATATTGCCTACAAAATTAATATAGTCTACAGGCTGTTGTCTGTATAATGATTATAATCTATAGAGTATTGACCATAATGAATACAGTATATAGAGTTGCCTGTATAATGAGGACAATCACAGGGGTGGTAGTAGTAGTAGGCATCC